CAGCTTTTTCTGCTTATGTGGTGCTGAGGAATCGAACCCAGGGCCTCATGCATGCAAGGCAAGTGCTCTACCACTGAGCCACCTTCCCAGCCCCCTTTGGCAGTTTTTCTAATTGTCAGTTTACTTGAAAATAATTTGACATTTGTCACATTTGTCATCCTGCTGTGCCTGTGGACCCTCACACAGCGGCTGCAGTCAACAAAACATGAGCCCTCGATGCCCACTTCATCCCCGCAATGCAGAGAGAGAAAAAAAAGCCGGGCACCGGTGGCTCATGCCTGTTATCCTAGCTACTCAGGAGGCTGAGATCTGAGGGTCGCAGTTCAAAGCCAGCCCGGGCAGGAAACTCCATGAGACTCTTACCTCCAATGAACCACCAGAAAACCAGAAGTGGCACTGTGGCTCAAGTGATAGAGCACTCGCCTTGAGCTGAAGAGCTGAGGGACAGTACCCAGGCCGAGTTCAAGCCCATGACTGACCCCCCCCCCCAAAAAAGTTCCTTCTCCATCTATTTAATCACTTAACTATTCATTGATCTACATCGTGACACTATTTTTTTCTTCAGGCAGTAATCTAATATTACTATTTTATCTACCAAAATTTCCCACTTCAGTTTGTCTCCTGTGTTCTTTGGGGATGTCTCCACTTTTAATTTAGAATGTCTCTATGCTAAACCTATCTTGAACTTTCCCTGCTCCAGTAATCACATCACTAAAATCCTTGGTTCTTTTTATCATGTTGTATTTAGATCTGAGTGTCAGTGCTTCTTAGAAGACAAAGAAACACAAGTATGTGTAGCAGCCCATGTGCGCACACACAAACCTCTTCCTGTACCCACTCATGCAGATTTCAAATGCACGAAGTCACGCGGGTGCCTCTCTAGCACACTAATTCCACCTCCAGCCCATTACCACGGCACTTATTCTGGTATTCTTTTTGTTGGTGGTGGTTTTAGGGCTTGAACTCAGTGCTTGGGCACTGTCTGAGCCATCTTTGTACTCAAGACTAGCACTCTACCACTTCAGCCACAGTGCTATTTCTGATTTTTGAGTGGTCGGAGATAAGAGTCTCATAGGGCCTTTCCTGCCCAGGCTGGCTTCAAACGGGGATCCTTAGATCTCAGCCTCTTTAGGAGCTAGGACTACAGGTGTGAACCACTGGCACCTGGCTTATTCTGGCATTGTTTCATATTGTGGGTCAAATTTACTCCTATGTATGTTTGAGTAGCAAAATAGCCTGCTTTCATCACTACTTCAGATGGGCATGCAAGAACATTGCTGATTTTTGTATGTTTTTTTTGGTTTGTTTTTTGTTTTTGTTGGTTATGGGGCTTGAACGCTGGGCCTGGGTGCTGTCCCTCAGCTCAAGGCTAGCACTTTACCACTTGAGCCACAGCACCACTTCTGGCTTTTTCTGTTTATGTGGTGCTGAGGAATTGAACCCTGAGCCTCATGCATGCGAGGCAAGCGCTCTACCACTGAGCCACCTTCCAACCCCTGTATGTTCATTTTGTATGGTGCAACTTTGCTGAATTCATATATTGGTTCTAAAGTTCCTTTGAGAGCCATATAAAATATAGCCACCTGAATCGGAACCACTGGTTCTCCCCTTTGGATCTCTCAGGCTGGGACTCCCAGTGATCAAGTGCTGGTTGCTTTCTTCTTACAACCTTTGAAGTTCATTTGCTTTCACTTGTTTCTTATGATACAATTTTTACATGGATGTTGATTGCTTGAAACTTCCCTTAGTATTGCTTTTACTGTATCCCTTTGGTATATTGTGTCTCCATTTTCATCTATTTATTTTGGTTCTGTCATGGGGCTTGAACTCTGGGCCTGGGCACTGTCTCTGAGCTCTTCAGCTCAAGGCTAGCACTCTACCACTTGAGCCATAGCACTACTTCCAGTGTTTTGGTTGTTAATTGGAGATAAGAGCCTCACGGATTTTGCTGCCTGGGCTGGCTTTGAACCACAATCCTCAGATCTCAGCCTCCTGAGTAGTTAGGATTTCATATATGAGCCTCTGGCACCTGGCTTTTTTTTTATTTTTTTTTTATTGTAAAGATACTATATAGAGGGTTACAGATACATGAGTGAGGTAATGAGTACATTTCCTCTTGAACATTGTTAGCCCCTCCATTGTTTTCCCCCTACCATCCTCTCCCTCCCTCCCTTCCCCGAAGTTCTTTTTTTTTTTTGATTGTGATTAAGTGATTACATAATTTCTAAGTCACAAGTTCATTCTAACTTTCCTGGAGCAATCCTCAGATCTCAGCCTCCTGAGTAGCTAGGATTTCATATATGAGCCTCTGGCACCTGGCTGCTTTAATACTTTATAACATTAGGTATATGTGTGTTTGTGTGTATTGCTGAATTGACCTCCCTCAACTCTGAACAGATGCCTCACATAAAAAATTTGTATGGAAGTGGGTTAATTCTCCAATTAACCATCAGAAAACTGGAAGTGCTACTGTGGCTCAAGTGGTAGAATGCAATTGTAACCTCCTTATACAACTACTTAATATTAAGAAAGCAAAATCATTTGCTTCCATCTCTTTTAGGTTTTTCTTTTGTAGTACAAGATTTCTCTATGCTGTCTTCAAGCTCATTGATTATCTTTAAAACAACTGTTTTAAATTCTCTGAGAACGTTTCCTATACTAGTTACAATCTGGTCTTTTCCAGGCACCTTGCGGATTCCAGGAGTTCATGTTTTCCTCTGAGCTCTTGATGCTTAGTGTAGTGTCATCTTGGCATTGAAGTTTTAGGTATTCATTCATTAATCTGGCTTTTTTTTTGTTCCAACAATTCTAAACTATCTGCTCAATTTTCTCCTGAGCTTGTATTGCATTATTTTAGCCCTGAATGGTATAAGTTTTCAAGGAGTCTGGTATTGTTGCACTATCGCTGTTTACACACTAGAGGGCAATCCAAGCCCAAATTTGTCCCAAATTATTGGTATAGTCAGAACTAACTAGACTATCTAGAATGAGTTGTCTGTCCTCAGAAACTTATCAGATGTTGCATCCATTTGTGGGCTTATGGTGAGGCACTCTCTGGCTGCTCTGGGCAGTCCTCGAGAATGGGCCAGTGGCGGGCCTGTCACGCCTACAGTGGCCAGTATTGCCAATCTGTATGACACCCTGAACTCACAGCCTGTCCAGAGCAGCAATGCACTGGGCTAGGACCAAGGCTCAGGCAACTATCAGCTCCCGATTGTTGAGGTGGACTCACAGCCCCAAACCACAGCAACCAGCCTGATGCGCACTGCATAGCATCACCACCTTCTGGTGGTGAATGTCCTCATCACCACCTGAGTTGCTGTGGAGGCCCTGTCTGCAGGTATGCCTGCAGACGGCGGCCATCAAAATCCACCCAACACTAAGCTCGCTGGCTTACTATCTTGTTTTACACAAAACTATTATGAGTTTATAAATTTAGTTCAGGGTACAAATGAAGTTAATTTTGGAGGAGATGATAGAGGAGATTAAGATTTTTAAAAATGGAGAAAGACCAACCTGAACAGGACATAAAAGAAAAAGAATACTGGGAAGACAGACTAGGAGTGGAGCCGTGTAGGCTGACATAAAGCATGTGTGTAGACACAAGTGTTAGGTAAGCAGGGGTTGACTCAGAGCCACAGAAGAGCACACTGTCTCCCGCAGCAGGAGGGAGGTGGCAAACTGGTTCAACAGGACGGCCTTTCGCTCTGACCACTTCATTCCACTTAGCAGCCAGCAATTGAGCTGGACATAATCCAGGCATAGAAACCGGGGAGGGAAAACAAAAAGATGTATGGGGCTATAATTTTATGAAAACACCCATTAAGATCATACAAGTTATGGCTTTGCATTCATGTTTTGAAAAGTGAACTTCTAATAAGTGTTTTCCCAAGTTGGTATTCCTTCTAGAAAATAAGCCCACCACAAAGCAAGTTATCTAGCTGGGGCCACAGTTCATGTTTATGTTATCACACTCGGTCCCTTTGAGTTTTAAATATGGTCAGCTTCCTAAAGATGAATTACCCATCCGGGCACTGGTGGCTCACGCCTGTCATCCTAACTACTCAGGAGGCTGAGATCTGAGGATCACGGTTCAAAGCCAGCCCGGGCAGGAAAGTCTGCGAGACTCTTATTTCCAATAAACCACTAGAAAACCGGAAGTGGCGCTGTGGCTCAAGTGGTAGAGCGCTAGCCTTGAGCTGAAGAGCTGAGGGACAGCGCCCAGGCCCAGTGTTCAAGCCCCAAGACCGACCAAAAAAAAAAAAAAGATGAATTACCCAGATAAAGTGGCACTATTAACTGTCTAGCATGCAGAGTTGATAACAAGACCACTTTGTAGCATTCCTGAAGTATGCAGACCCTGCAAAACCTTGAGCAGCTGCTATTTATATGGGATGTTATTAATTATATACCACTGTGCAGAAATTTAACAGAATTTATTACGAATTTCAGAAAACAAAGCTTCGCAACTGCAACTAATACATAATTTGAATAACAAAATAGCCTCTTATTTTTAAATATAATTTATATAGCAGCATGCTTGCTGAAAACAATATATTTCCATTCATTTAAAAATGTATCAATAAAATACGTAATAAAGTATAATTTGTGGTATAAGTGTAAACTAGCCAATTTATCTCCATTACCTATGTTCTGTCTTATTTTTATAGTGTTTTAAATCATTGACGAATGCAGAAATATATATTTACAGGGAATTCTCAAAAAGAATGATTCAGTTCAATATAGTTATTTCATACTTCATCAGCATTTTCTTTGCGTTCTGGATCCAACATCAGGAAGTGGACTGGCCCTTGGCTGGCTATTCTGTAAAACAGTTCCAGAACATTCCTTTACTGTGATATGCAGAGACGCGTAACAGGTGAATCTCCTACTAGATTATAGTTTTAACAAGACTGAACTAATAACTGAACCTTTTTTCGGGACAGGGTTTTGCTGTATAGCCATCCTGAGATTCTCGATCCTTCTGCCTTTGCTTCCTGAGTGTTGAGATTATAGATGTGCACCTTCATGCCATGTTTCTTAACCCAAACTGCTAAATGCTATAAATCTATTTTAGCAAAGCTGAGTGCTACTAGGTAAGGCATTGTATCAACAATCCATGATCATCTTTATTCTTTGCTATTGGTGACATTGATGAGATTTCTATCATCTGTTGTGTAAACAGTCAAGCCGAATGATTTTATTTTCTACAGAAGCCCTGGGAAACTGTACTAGATTCTAGGAGTGTTTAACAACTTATTTAAGACTAAAGAATTAACAGGAGGGTGATTGTTAAGAACACACTAATTTTATATAAAGTAAACTTCCGTGAGGTGAAGCTTCCGCCTCTGAGATTGCAGTTCTGAGGAGTGGAAGTTCACCTCCAGCCGTGCCCCGCAGCAGCCCTGACGGTGAGGCCCACAAGCACGCAGTCCCCACCACAGCAGACGCCTTGCCTTCCCCTCTCCTCCTCCACCTCCCCCCCCCCACTCAGAGCCCTTGCAGAGGGCCTGACGCAGCGGAAGCAACTCAGGTACTGCCTGTTGATTGAATGAAGAGAAACTAAAAAAGAAAAGCTGTGTGATTGCCAAAAGGGAGATTCTAAATGTTAGGACAAAGCCTGGGCAGCGCGAGCCTTCCCAGGTGGATGACAGTGGAGATCTGCCATCTACTCAGCCTAGGGTGAAAGGTGAGCTGAGAGCAAAGCTGAAAGGTCTGAATGCCTCTCTCCGGTACTTGGCTTTGCTCTTTTAGGTGACAGACGACTACTGAGGAGAGTGCTATGTTCACATTGCTATTTAAAAGAGATTATTCTGGAGATGGTGGTGTGAAAGATGAGTTGGAGATCAAACCTAGAGATATTTGAAACGGTCCAGATGAAATGTGACAATTCTTCTTAAGCACATTAAAACATTGTTGTTGTAAGTGTACATGTTTTGGAGATGTGGTGTTGCAATTTAACATATGTACATAATGTTTAATAATCAAATGACGATAGTGAACATTTCCATTTTCTCAAACTTTTGTGTGGATGTGGTTGGGAGTTGAACTCTCAGGGTCTCAGGCACACTAGATAAGCAACCCACTGGTGAGCTGTACCTCTGCTCCTCAAACTTTTCACGTAAAACATGTACTTTTCAAATCAAGGTAGTAAATATTTCCCTCTCCTTATGACTTTGTGAGCATCCAGTCCTCCTCTTCTAGATACCTGTTACTGTGAACACGATGCGGTCTTCTTTCTGTGGCACTAGGACTGAAGCCAGAGTAAGCGCATCGCCATGACTCCAGATGGAGAAATTCTCTTTGTTTTGTTTGTGCCAGTGCTGGGACTTGAACTCAGACCCTTGTGCTCTCATGTGGCTTTCTCTGCTCAAGGCTGGCAATCTACCATTGAGCCACACCTCCACTTCCAAATTCCTAAACTTAGTACACTACCATTAGGAGTGGACGGAGACGAGGTGCATTTGGTGCATAAAGTCAGGAAGACTTGCAGGCTTTGGGAATGCAACAGTGAGAAGTCCGGTGAGGAAAATACTTGTCTGGAAATCTGGTGGAAGATGGCATTGACTGACATAAGGATTATGAAGGAGGGCAGGTTTTGTGGGGGAATGGAAGGAGCACTGGGGAAGACTGGCGCGCTCCTCAGTGTGGGAAACCATACTTCCCCACACCGCAGCCACGCTCCAGTACCACCTGTGTGTGTCTGTCTCTGCATTAGGCCCCAGAGACTGTTTTGATTTACATATGCAGCTTTACAAGATTCCCAATAGTAAAGTTTAGTTTTGAACCCACCAGGAACCTGTATGTGGAGGGGCAGTGGTCATGGCCAGATGTCAACTTCCTGGGAGTTTCCAAACAGATTACCTACCTAAAAGTCTGGAACTTCAATGTCAACAAAGAGTTCTTACCATTAAAAAAAAGTTAAGCAAGGTCTTACTGTATTGACGCGTCACATCATGCTAGTATCTAAACAGAAGCGAAGACCTTCCTTAAGTACTTACCAGAACTGGTAGTAATTGTAAAGTATTTCTGATAGATGGATTTCTGTAAATTATTTCTTGTACATCTGAAAAATTGTACCATGAGACAAAAAATTCAGTTAATTACATAAAGAGAAAAGATAAAACTAAAATAACTCAATGTTAAAGTCTTGTGTGTCAAATATTTAAAACTGAGCAAGACTCATTTTCTATTGACTACAGCCTATACTTAAATTAGGTCCAAACATAGAATATTTTTTTATTTTTATGTATTTTTTGGGGGGGTCCAGTCATGGGGCCTGAACTCTGGGCCTGGGCGCTGTCCCTCAGCTCTTCAGTTCAAGGCTAGCGCTCTACCACTTGAGCCACAGCGCCACTTCCGGCTTTTTCTGTTTATGTGGTGCTGAGGAATCAAACCCAGGGCCTTGTGCATGCAAGGCAAGCGCTCTACCACTGAGCCACCTTCCCAGCCCCATCTTTATCTTTTTTTTAAAAAAAGTAAATTTCGTCCTTGCAGCACCTAAGGAAAAAGAGAACTGCTCACTTAACTTCTAAGGCATAGAACGTGAGTAATTTGATCAATACTCATCTTTTTAGCTGTGAGGCTATTTAGTCCACATAATGATAAGTAGAGAAGAATATGACTGAAAATAATATGAGCAGAATCTTTCATATGAAGCATTCAAATATACAGACATGTATGCTGGATGGAGTGGCTGACATTTGTAATCCAGAAACCCAGGAGGTGAAGCCTAGTCTGTGGTCTGGGCTGAGCCAGGTCAAAACCACACACCCTACCAGAAAAAACTGACAGATAAATGGGAGGAGGGTATGGCTCAAGTGGTGAAGAGCCTACCTAGCAAGTGAAAGGCCCTATCTACTGTCTCTCTCTCCCTCTGTCTCTGTTTCTGTCTCTCTTTCTCTCTCATACACGCACACACAGACACACACAGACGCACACACGCCCCTCAAACAAAAAAACTAGGAATGTCTAATAGAAATGAAAATTTTCCCCAAGTTATTAACTTGATTTGGGTATCCTAATTTTTGTTTTTGTTTGTACCCATACTGGGGTTTGAACTCAGAGCCTGGGCAATGTCCCTGAGCTTTTTTGCTCAAGACTGGGAGTCTGCTACTTGAGCTACAATTCCAACTTCTGGTTTTTTGGTGATTAATTAGAGATAAGCATGTCCTGGCCTTTCCTATCTTGGTTGGCTGCAATCAATACTCAGATCTCAGCCACCTGAATGGTTAAGCTTACAGGCCTGAGCCCTGTGCTCTGTGGAACAGGTGACAGACACCATGGGATTTGTAAGCTGAGGTAGCCTGGGCCCGTAATGCCACGCTTCTTGCAAAGGACGCTGCTCCACACTCACAGTGCAGCCTTTCGTCGAGGTGCTCAAGGGAGTGCAGGATCTTCTCTTCTTCAGCTGACAGTGCAGAGATATTGGACTGCTGGGTTTTAGTTAAAGCCAGGCTTGGTGTCTGTAGCTGCTTGCTATTCAAGACAGTAAGAATTTCATCCTCAGGCAATGAAGTTTTCACTAGCTTTTCAGCCATCAAAAACGCGAGGGTACTATCTGAAACTACAGAAACTTGCCATCAATTATTCTTTGATCTTTTTGTCTGGGGATCAGCCCTTCTAATATGCTTAGCTGTGAAGGCATACAGAAAAACACACATATGCCAGAGGTGGAAAAAAAGGAATAGTAAATAGTAAGATACTAATGAAAAATTAAAGTAGCAGAAAAAGTAAAATAGTAAAAAACTTGCAACTAATATTAATAATGCTAAGATTATTTCTAATACTTAGAATACGAAGTATTCCAGTAATTGCAGAAATCAGAAAGAAAATAGCAAAGCTGTACTATACGGGGAAAAAGAATATGAAGAGTCAACTCACCAAAAAGACGTCTATTGTTAATAAAAACAAGATCAAAGTCTGAATCAACAATGATAACTATCTGCCTATCACATAAGCAAAACCAAGAAGTGATTGTGCCTAAAGTTAACACCTATCACTGAAGGAGTCTTGAATGATAATACTTTTTTTTTGTCAGTTGTGGGGCTTGGAATCAATCAGGACCTGGGTGCCGTCACTCGAGCCACTTCTAGTTTTTGAGTGGTTTATTGGAGATAAGAGTCTCTCAGGGACTTTTCTGCCTGGGCTGGCTTCAAACTGCAATCCTCAGATCTTGGCCTCCTGAGTAGCTAAGATTACAGGTGTGCGCCACAGGCACCCAGCTGAATGATAATACTTTTCAGGAAAATACCTTAACATAGATATATATATATATATATATATATATATATATATATATATCCCTATCAATGATTATTTCCTTTAATCCAGTATTCATTTAATATTCAGTTTTATTCAACAAATATTTATTGGTTATAGCTACCAAGTACTGTAATTTTAATTCTGTAAATCTTACAGAAATAATTGACAATTTCGAAGATACTTTGATGTAGAAAATATTGAGCACAATATTATTAGTTCATGAAAATCTGGTAATAAACAGATGATGCTGGGGGGTGAGGAGAGTTCAGGTCCCAGTGGTGCTTTTGCAATCACATAATCATAAACACTTGAGAAAATATGTGGAAAACAAAGGTTTAAAAAAAGCTCTGAGAACATTTAAATAAAACCTACCTTCTTCAATATTACATACCTTCTTCCATGTTAGGAGAACCACTTTTAGTATGTTGTGGCTCACTTAAAGTTAGTTGAACATTTTGTCCAAAATTCTGTAACAAATAAAATATTCAGTCAATTTAATTTCACATTTGAAATTTGCGATACATGGACACTGAGAGCTTTTAATTGCTTTATCTGTATTTTAAACTACCATTATTCATGTAACTTGGTTCTTCTACTTGTTTATTTATTTATTTTTGGGTCCGGTCGTGGGGTCTGAACTCTGGGCCTGGGTGCTGTCCCTCAGCTCTTCAGCTCAAGGCTAGCGCTCTACCCCTTGAGCCACAGCGCCACGTCCGGCTTTTTTCTTTTTGCTTATATGGTGCTGAGGAATCGAACCCAGGGCCTCAGGCTTGCAAGGCAAGCGCTCTACCATTGAGCCACCTTCCCAGCCCCTACTTATTTTTGGAAACTAATAGCTACTACTAGATTAAGGCTTTTCTAGGGTCCCAAGTATTTTAGAAGTATCTTATGTACAATGGGAAATTTCAGATAGTAGAGTTGTCTTGGACATTCCTTCCTTCCCATGTTGAGGCAGGGTTTGCTATGGAGGCTGGCGGAGTGCTGGGATTACAGGTGTGCCCCTCCATGCTTTCTTACAGTTGTTTTAGAATCTTCACTGAACTGGGCCATTGCGGTCAAATAGAACACAGCCAGGGAATGCAAATAGCCGCCAATGAGAGCCCCTTGGTGGCTCTCATTACCCCGTGGTTGGGGTAAATAGCGGTTTGCAAGAGCCCAGTAAGTACTTGAAGAGCATTCGCTTTTCAAGTGATTTTTCATTCTTGCAAACTTTTTATTAATATCATACTTACAATCATTTGCTCACTGTACTTCTGTCCTGCACGCCCACGGAATTTTGTCTCTTGCTCTAAAAGAGTTCTCCGTTTATTATCAATAATTCGTTTTCTTCTTGTAACAGTAGAACCTTAAACAAATGCCAGCACAGGGTCAACAATTATGCAAGTTGAGTAGATAGTATGTATCTATTACAAATTTCCAGGTGCCTTCCAATGTCACAGAAAACTGTACATTTCATATACTTGTTCTATACAGAGCACAGTTCAAAACATTTGAAGCCGGGCTCTGGTGGCTCACGCCTGTCATCCTAACTACTCAGGAGACTGAGATCTGAGGATCACGGTTCAAAGCCAGCCTGGGCAGGAAAGTCTGCGAGACTCTTATTTCCAATAAACCACTAGAAAACTGGAAGTGGTGCTGTGGCTCAAGTGGTAGAGCATTTGCCTTGAGCTGAAGAGCTGAGGGACAGCGCCCAGGCCCAGAGTTCAAGCCCCATGACTGACCAAAAAAAAAAAAAAATAAAAAAAAATAAAATCTGTCTTGCTCCTGAAGGGTTTTATGGTTAAAGCAGCGACCTCCAGAGGTCCTGGGGGCCAGGCAGGTGAGACAGGCCACTAGTGTGCAGGAAGAGCATATTGGCATTCCAGGCTCCACTTGTATTGAAGAAGGAAGCCTGCTTCCTGTGATGCGCGGTCTCACTGCGGCAGCTGCGCCGCAGAGGCCAAGGTGAGGGCCGGCTGGCCTCAGTGCTCTGGGGCTTGAGCAGGATTTCATCTACTGCAGTGCCCAAACAAGTCCTCACAAAAGGGGAAGGTGCTGAAAGCCCGTCTTCAGGGCAACGGTCGTTCCTGCAGGGGAGTGGCAGGTACCTGGCTGTCAGTAGTAACGCAAGGGGAGGGCAAGCGGGCACGGCTGAGCACCACTAAGAGCAATGGCATTTAACTGACCTTTTTTAATAGATGAGAAGTATTAAAAATTATCTTTAAATAGTTGTACAAAGGAGCTGCCATTTAAGAAAGCGGTGTATGAATACAATGCATATTTTTTTTCTCAAGAATTTTGAAAAAGCTTAAGATAATGGTATCATTTTATTCCTCAAATGAGGTATAGAGCAGATCAAATCTGAGTTGTCACTATTTTGGAAAGTGGGGAGGGGTTTAGGCACATCTATTAGCTTATAGCTCTTTAATAATTTTAAAGAAAAATAAAGGAATATGCTCTAATATTCACTTACTTAGGATAATTTAAACAGTGTTTTCCACTGTGCACACTTTTATAGAGTGTGTGGCTACACTGGTCATGTCAGACTAGTATGGGACAAGAAGAGATCCTATTCCGTGTTCTTGAAAATGTCTTGAGATGTCATAAAAAAATGGAGGCTGAAAAGAGTTTCTTAGTTCAGCACAGGTTAGGCCAAGCTTTAACTCCTGGATCCAATTATTAGGGAGGCAAGTTATTTTTATAAGACCAAACTGTTAATTTAATACCAGTAAGGAAAAGTTGCGCAAAGGCATTCTTACCAGTGGCTCTCTCACTTTGGCACAGATTAGTATTCTCTTTTTTCCACGAGGGAATCAGCTGTTCTTTAGTGTTTCTAAGATACATTGACTGATAACGTCCCTCATAAGCAGGACTCGTTTGGGGGCAGTGAGTGTCACCCTGCGGGGTGACCACGTGCGGGCTGTTTGGGTGACTTGCTTTCGTGAAGGTGTGGCACTGGGAAGAATAGTAGGACGGGGGAGAGGGCATCACAGTGACCAGGTCTGAGTGAGCATCTGGCTGGGGCGGATCACTTTCCTGGCTCCATGGATTCAGGCTGTGTTCTGCTGGAAGGACGTGTTTTGAATTACAGCAGTTCTGTGTAATCGCGTTTGGGGAACCTGCAGGCATTGCGGATTGACACTGGCACATGTGTGTATTTTCACCACTTTGGATCTTTGCTGTTGCTTTGGGAGGAGGGTGAGGTATGATTAGTCTGCCCTGAGTCTGTACAAAGGAGTTGCCTCTGCTTGCGGACTGCGTCTGGACGACAGTGCCTTTCCTGTTCACATACACAAAGGTGGACTGGGCTCTTGCGGATCCCGCTCTCCCAGTGGCCTTCGCTCCGCCTGGGGGAGGATTACCCTTCTGGGTTTTAGAATCTCCACTCTGTGCAGGGGCTTTGCTTTCTTCTTTTTTAGATGCCGCCCAGGCTTGTTTAATGAAGTTATAACCTGAAGGCGTAGAGCAGTTCAAAGGCACGTGGTCTATTCCAGATCCTTCTAAATTAGCAACATCTCCAGAGACAGAATCAAGCTTGGGATCTGTTCCATCCACAGAACTTACAGCATGGGCGGGGGCGCTGGCTGCGTGGCTGCTGGCCTCACTCTGCCCTGGACACTGTGGAGTAGTTCCGGCTCGGTCCCTCAGGAAGCCGCAGTCCTCAGCACTCTCCGCTTGATGCCCACTTTCATCAAACCACCTTAGTTTTTTACTCATCTTTGGAATCTCTGCGCCTTTTTCCTTTACCTTTGTTAGTTCAATACTATCCCTGATAGCTGCTGCTTTTTGGTTTCTAAACTTAAAGCCTTGATTTGTGATCAGTGTCTGCAGATAGTTATGCTTGTATTTAGAATCTTTCTTTAAAATGCTTTTAAGAAACCTCACACTACTTTGCTCATGGCTATCATATTTCATTTTCTTGTGCTGGTCAAGTAAGTCGTTTACATTAGACAATGATGCCTTTTGTTTTTTGTCTTTTGAATCAGGATTTTGAGGTACAGCGGTAGCTTTGAAACTGTCTGAAAAGAAAGGCAACTCTTCTTTATTACAATTGAAATATTTTATCTTTTCTTCTTGCATGTCTTCCAATTCATCTAGCTTATCTGAACACTGCACTGGGTCAATTTCTTTTATGTGCATATTGCTCATCGGTACAGTCCTGGCACACTGTCGATTAGACGGAGGAAAGAAAGCTGTTGCCCTTGGTACACATGAAGCCGGGCCTGAAGATGTTCCATTTCCTTGAGTTGACTCAGATAATTTCTTTTGGTGTGAGGGTGTGGCTGCTTTCTGAGCGGCAGCGGGTGAGCTGGTCCAGGTTCTGCTGACTGGGAACGGAGCGCGCTCAGTGACTGGGCCCCTCTCCTTGCCGCCCGCCCCCGAGCTGGCCGTGCGCCTCCAGGTGGCCATTCCAGAGCTCTTCTTGTCCTTCTTATCCAGCGCTGCTACAGGCGGGCTGTACACAAAGATGACGGGACTCCTGGCAGCACTCACAGCTCCATCCACAGTTCCACTCACAGCACATGGATTTTGTTCTTTATTACCGAGATGCTCCTGGGGAGGGGCAACAATCGGCTGATTGGAAATATCTGGGGAAGGTGTGACATTTTGAGTACCATGAGCATCCAAATTTGTAAGCCAATTATTTATATGTTGAACTTTTGAGAAAAACAGTTTATTATCATCAGAGCAGTTTAGATGAGTTGACTGTATGTTTGCTGGTAAGAGGGGAGCAGAATCCTCTTGTGCTGACGGCGCGTCATTAAACGTTAGGTACACCTCTTCGCGCTCCCCAGCCTCCAGGCTGTCTATACTTGAGAGGGTCTCAGAATTGGTGATCTGATGAACTTGGTCATAAAATTTCTAGGGGAGAAAAAGAACATTGTTTATACCTTAAAATGTTTTAAATGGCAAACTTTAATGACTTACACTGTTGTTACTGAAGTCTCAATACTGGCCTATTAACAGAAGAATATGAATACAGCGGTGAAGGCTCGTGAGGACTCTATCTCTCAGGGGAAAAACGGGAGTAGCAAAGATCTATAGAAATATATGCTGACTTTAATTTCAACTCCTAACTTTTCCAATTATTTTAGACATAATATGGCTTAGAATTAATTTTTGTGCTGCTATTCTATTTCAAATGTGGAGTTTTCTTCTTTCTTTCTAACTAGAGATTGAATGGCTGAGAGTTTATTTCAGACAAGCAAAGGCACTTTCTGGCCTCAATAATGCTAACAGTAAATATACCAAAGTAATGAAAATGGCAACTATCACTCAACTCTGGGCTTTTGAATGTTTTGTAATAGCAAGTAAAACTTTGAAAAATAGTTATTTAAAAACTATTTTTTTTCCTGAGACAGTCATTGAACTTGACTGAGACTGCTAAACGCTTTAAGACTTGAATTTGCCCTTGTGCTGGAAGAGGAGTTGCCCTGTCTGGCAGAGGTGAATCCTGTGGTCTGCTGTAGACCTGCTTGCATAGGCACTTTGTCAGAATATCTATTCCTGGGCCCTGATGATTTAACATTTGGATGGGGCCCATAAAAATGGTATTTTTAGCTCAGCGTCGGTGGCTCACACCTGTAATCCTAGCTACTCAGGAGGCTGAGATCTGAGGATCGCAGTTCAAAGCCAGCCTGGGCAAGAAAGTCCGTGAGACGCTTATCTCCAATAAACCACTAGAAAACCTGAAGTGGTGCTGTAGCCTAAGCGGTAGAGCGCTCGCCTTGAGCTGAAGAGCACAGGGACAGCACCCAAACCCAGAGTTCAAGCCCCACGACCGAACAACAACAACAACAAAAGTATTATTTTTAAAATTCTCCTAGATAACTAACTATAACTATAGGATGGATTTAATCTTGATATTGACCAACTGACAATCTCATAAATGTGTGAAAATATTTACAGGAAGGAATCGGCTGATACTCATTTGTGGAACAAAAAAAGATCAAAATAAATGCCCTGCTAGGAGAGATTAGTAACTTCTGTTACATTTCAAATAAGAATCTCATGCAACATGTGATACAATTTTAAGGTTCCTTTTTATAATGAGCTCTATTACTCATACTGCCTTTACATTGTACTTTCAAATAGCTTACATGTTTGTCATAAAGTAACACTCAGTAAGCATAGTATTTTTGAAATAGGAAGTGAAAAAAGAAGACTAGAAGAAAAAGAAAGGAACTTGGGAAAAATATAAGAAAAAGTAAACGCTAAAGTTTTTTTCCAGTGTCTGTGATAAATCTGTGTTGAGTACCTCACACCCTCTCTGGCTCACACTTAGCCAACAAGATACACTTCTGTATCTGGTAGAGAACACTGGACCCAAGTCTTAGCGGCACAATTACAGTTTCATACTTGCAAACTGCTCAAGCGCTGATCTTCTAGGCGCTTCTGCGTCTCCTCCAACTGCAGCTGAAACATGCTCCTGTTAGCAGCCATGTTTGCCGTGCTGTGGTCCTTCACTTCTTTATCACAATTGGTTTTGGATCTGAGATGTTTCTTATACTTGTCATTTGACAAGGCTGAAGACAAGGCAGAATCTAGAGCTCTGTGAACAGACATACAGATACTTAGCACATTTAAATAAAATTAGTTTCTATAAGTAGACAAATGATACATTTGTGTTATAGGAGTGCATGTGTCAGATAATCTCATATAAGGATATTGGAGAAATAGATAGATATATTAGAATGGTGAACTGAAAGCATTCAATAATACAAAAAACAAAAACAAAAATGGTTGTGAGACCACTGTGCCAATAATGGAGACTGTCAGGTAGGAATGCCCAATTACTCACGACCTTATCCCACCCCTTCTTTTATCATCTGGCGGAGTAGAAGTATCTCCTGTAAATGGTGTCAGGTCCCGTGCTTGGTTCTTTAAGAGTATCCCCGTAAGGACAAAAACAGTCCTCATTACCCTTTGTTCTGAGTTAAAACCAGGCTAATCCATTCTCCTACAACTGAAGAAAGCTGAAGACTCAAGCAGATAGAAATAATGAACCGTGCTTAAGGAGGTTTGGGAACTTGGCTCTTAATAAACAGTGTTGTTTGTTTTTGGTCTGAGACTGGAACTCAAACTTGGTACCTGACGCATTTACTCACTGGCTAGTGCTCTACCAACATTTGTTTTTAAATTGTTTCAGAAAAGCAAATGCAATTGGATGCTATAGAAGAGGTATCTTCAATACAGCATTTACTTATGTGCCAAGGTATCACATCAAAATTACCTTATCTTCTATCACCTGGAAACCAATAGCATACTACATTTCAGGATATAGTGCAAAGCAAAGAGTTTAGTGAGACTTTGTTGGGGAGGCTGGGACAGAAATGTGGATAATAGAAAGCTGACTGCCTGTGCACTGTGGCTGCTGGTTCGGATCCTAGGGCGTTTATTACCAGTTCAATTCACTCCTTACCAACTCGATGAGGATAAAAACGTTTTGGCGAGGGACATATGGCTGCAAGTAACATATATCTATCTCCAAAACCCGTATGTATCTTTATTTGGACCAACCAAAATAGTCGAGGTCAGTAATAATTCCATTCCTATCTCTCTGTTCTAATGGGGAGATCAGAAGAGCAAGTTCCTGAACATTGAGGGTCTGTTTCTGTCTCTTCCTTTTTTTTTTTTTATATATGCTTCCCTGCTTCTACAGAATTCTTCCCTTTCAGTCATCCTTTCCAAATAAAATAAAGCTAAGTCTACAAAATGTCTAATAAACTCCAATTATTTACCTTTAAAGTTGTCGTCTCTCAACTTTTTCTTCTCTATTCCTTTCTTCTCTACTCGACTTTCTTCTCTTCTCTTCTCTACCTTCTTTCCCCCGTGAGGAGGACTGAATGGATGGATAGGAATGAAAGGAGAGGGAGAGGTGGAGAGAGAAGGAGAGAGAAGCATGGGAGGGAAAGAGGAAATCACAAAGGAAGAAGAAACGGGAGACACTGGAGAGGGAAAAGCAAAGTAAGTTGGGGACAAACATGGAGAGGAAGATGACTGCAAAGGAGAGGGCACAAGAGGGGCAGATGAGGGAGAAGAGGAAGGCAAGGGGGGGGAAGGCGAGGAGGGGGCAGAGAGCACTAGGGAGGGTGGAGAGGATGACGCTGACATGGGACGTGGTGAAGGCACAGCAGATGGAGAGCCACGGGGCGGTGGATGGGAGAGAACTGGGGCAGGCGGCTGGTCTGCAAAGACCTGTGGTTGGTGTGACCATGTGGCTTGTAGAACAGATTGCTGAACTGACTGGAAAAGACGTTCAGGCAATGGATGGACACGAGACAGGGTGGAGAGTGGCTTAGGAGGCTGAGCGGACACGCAGGAAGGCTTCAAACTAGGGAGCGCTTCCAGAGGGGCGGGGGAAGCACCCAGTCGAGTGGGAAGGGACCGGCGAGCAAGGGCAGGCACTAGGGAGGCTGGGGTAGAATGCGGTGCTGGAAGGAGACGTTTGGGTCTTAAAGTTTTATGAAATAACTTGTTCTGTGAGTCAGGATCAGGAATAACTGGAGAACTTAAGGATGGGTGTGGTCGAAAGTTAGGTGGGTCAGAGGGAACAGGGGCTGGGGGACGAGGGAAACTGTTAGAAAAGCTGGGCGTAGCTGGGGCTGGCGGACGCGGGAGATGTTTGAGTGGGTAGGACAGAAATGGGGCTGGCAGACAGGCCTTTGAGAGAGTGGAGGGGACAGATGGCAGGGGACGGGTCTGGCGGGTGGGAGACACAGCTGGGTAGCTAGGAAGAATTTGGGAGTGGTGGGATGACACGGGGCCCCGGGAAGGGGGCAGCTGATCAAACGAGCCGGGATTGTGTGTGGAGATAGCTGGACAGGCAGGGATGGACCTGCACAAGTGGAAAGCATGGGACAGGCAGGGAGAAAGAGCCTTGTTATGATGGAGAACCATGTGCTGGGCTGCCTCTGTGGGTGTGGCTGGAGGCATGATCTTCCATGGTCAGCCAGAGCCTTTCCCAGGGGTTGAGAAGTACACAGGACAGCCAGGCTCCCTCTGCTCAGTCCTTGAGCTCAGAGGCTGAGATGTACACAGCCCAGCCAGGCTCCCTCTGCTCAGTCCTTGAGCTCAGAGGCTGAGATGTACACAGCCCAGCCAGGCTCCCTCTGCTCAGTCCTTGAGCTCAGAGCATTTCCAGAAGTCTGTTAGTCATACGTTCACACAAACATGGCCTGGACAATTTTGTTTAAAACACTGGTACAAAAGGCAAATAAAGGTCACCTCTGGATAGCCTTTTCAGGGTAGCATGTGGTTCTAGAAGCATCCTTCTCACCACAATACATGGATATTGGAGATAGATATCTAATAATCTCATTTTATTAACAAGGGAACACTGAATGTGAGTGAGAATATACCTTCTTTTACTCTCAGGAACTAGGAAGACTTATTATATGTTTAGAATTCTAGTCTCTTATTGATATTCCTACATCTCACTATTTCCTGAAGCAGTTTTTATGTTCATAAAACACTTTGATTTTTGTAGTTTAGTTATGTTTATAATAAAAATATTTCCATCAACCTCACACCTAATCCTTAATATTCTACTATCTCATATTTGTATAGTGTTTATAGTTTACAAGGTACTTCCACATATATTACTAATACTATTACATATCTGTGGAGAGAATTCTAATTTTTCAAGTAAAAAACCATAGTGTTCTCTCTGTAGCTTCATCACGCGTTGTTGATTTTTAAACATATAACATCCATGTGATATTTATACACACAGACAGATATGGGTATCATGAAGTCATAGTCAGAACATGTTTCAGATTCACAACTTATCGTCCCCTTTCACGTTTTCCTTCCCCGACCCTATTTACCTTTCCTCCACAGTCATTAATTTTTTAACTCATACCCCCTACTCTGCTCTGGGAAAGCTCTGGCTCTTTCTCTTCACTTTTGAGTTGCTTCTAGTTCTTTCTATTCTGGCAACGCTTACACAAAATAAATGCATGCTGCATGCCTGCTTCAAAGTTTTCAGTCACCATTTCTAGAACATAGGTGTGATTCAAGGCCTCCCTCCTAACCCACCTGCCCACTACTTTCTTCTCACTGTCCACACCAGCCGGATGAAACCGTCTGAAGTTACCTTAGCAAGCACATCCTCTCCCGCCTCTTTTAACACAGTTCTTATTTTTCTGTCTCAAGTTTTTTTAATCAGTCTCTAAAAAAATATGCTTTTCATCTGTTAAACTTCTGGCCATGTTTATGCCCTTCTGGAAGTACTCACAGCCCTGGTCTTTCTTCATTATTTATTGACAACTTCCAAAGTGCTTTGCACTGAACTGAACACTACTTTGTGCCTGTTTCCTTCCAGGATCATGACCGATACAAGTTGGTATGCTACTACTTCAGGATTTTTTTTTTTTTGGTCGGTCGTGGGGCTTGAACTCTGGGCCTGGGCGCTGTCCCTCAGCTCTTCAGCTCAAGGTGAGCGCTCTACCACTTGAGCCACAGCACCACTTCTGTTTTTCTGGTGGTTTATTGGAGATAAGAGTTTCACAGACTTTCCTGCCCAGGCTGGCTTTGAACCGTGATCCTCAGGTCTCAGCCTCCTGAGTAGCTAGGATGACAGGCTTGAGCCACCGGCGCCTGGCAAAATTTGAACTTTTTTTTTTTGGTCAGTCATGGGGCTTGAGCTCTGGGCCTGGGCGCTGTCCCTCAGCATTTTCAGCTTAAGGCAGGCGCTCTGCCACTTGAGCTACAGCGCCACTTTCTTCAGGATTCTTTAGAAGCCATTTGCTCTCTGTCAACTACTTTTTCCTTAGTTTCTGCGAAGGCATCCCTTTCCACAGCCTAGCGGTGACCCTGGCTGTCCCGCTGTCCTGAGTGCAGCTCTGCCTGCCGCTCTGCACAGGCGGCCCCTGCCACGGCGCACCTGCTCCACAGCCCGCAACAGCCGCTGCCTCCACTTCACATTAGCTCAGGTCTTTCTCATGAACTCTAAATCACAGATTTTCTGTATTTGTTGACAGAGCCTCTTCTTTTACTCCATTATTCACAATTGTTCATGATAAACTGCCATGGTAAGTTTTAAATATTTTGATCTTACTCAACTACTTAAAATCCTCTTACCTTAACTTTTGTATTTCTTAACATACAGGTGCACTTTCTTTTCCCATCTTATGGCTAGCCAGACTTTCAGAATTTTGTGTTCTGATTCACCCACATTTTCACTGCTTGCAGTACACGGCTTTGCCCATCCTCCACCCACATCCTCCAGGGTTAACTCCTATTTTCTTCAAAGTTTTGCTAAAGTTGGGTGCCAGTGGCTGACTTTTGTAACCCAAGCTTCTCAGGAGGCTGAGATCTGAGGATCATGGTTTGAAGCCAGCCTGGACAGGAAAGTACATGAGACTCTTATCTCCAATCAACCGGCAAAAAGTTGTAAGTGAGCTGTGGCTCAAGTGGTAGAGCACTAGACTTGAGAAAAAAAAAAAGGCTCAGGGACTGCGTACAGGCCCTAAGTTCAAGCCCCAGGACTGGCACACACACACACAAAAGACTTCTCCATTTCATGAGGTCTTTTCTAAACTTGAGTGAAATGTGGGGGGATGCAGTTTTTGTTTGCTTTTAGCCCTAATCAAGGGAATTATTGACCAGTTGAATTCTAAAAATGGAATGTTATATACAGGAAATAGAATAACATAATTCACTAGAATACTTTCATGTACATAAATATTGAGGGCTACCATCGCTAATTTGGTATTTTTCTACCTTTTCTTCCTCTTTTTCTTTTCTGTGCTGGGTCAGACCCGGGCCTCGTGGACAAGGCAAGCACGCTGCCACTCGTGCCTATCCTTCTCCCAGACAGCAGGGGATATCTATCTGGGCGGTCTATTCTGTGTTTTTAAATGACTCACTCATCAAAGTTTGGAGTGAAACCAGAAGACCTTTTTGAGATGTAGGAAAGGATTTTCCTTACTGAAAATACTTTTAGTAAGGAAAAGGTTCTTTTAACTTTGTGGCATATCTACCACTAAGTCTTTTTTAAAACTAAATCTATTACAGTTAAAGCAATTTCATTTTCCAAGCAAACATTAATAAAAAATTATTAAAACAACTTTGATAATTGTTTCCACAGTGTTTAATATGGGCAGTATTTTTTAATGTCAAAGACTTTTAAGATAATGAATTAGCATTCTAACTTCACTCTTGTAGAAACTCTATTCTTCCCAAATAAATAAACAAAACAATCTAAAGCAGAGAACAGTAGTAGTCTTGGACTGGAACAGAGCACAGTGACAGAGCATTTCCCTGTAGCAAGTGCAGGGGCCCGAGTTCAACAGACCTACACATTCAGCATCAAGAAAGCCATACATTATAATATACAACTACTAATAAAAATATACTAATTAAAACAGTAATACTTACCTCCAGTTTACTGCTGGTCTGTGAGAAAAGGGAATGTTTACTTCTGGATTTAAGTTGGATTCCTGAATTTGTTTGAGGGCCTCTTCTAATGGAGGAACTGGTTTTTGAAAAACTACAAGGAGAGTAAAGGTCACATAGTAAAGAATCACTCTATATTCAATGGTCTTTTTATAATCCAATTGGTCAATAAGAAAATAGTATTTTTAAATGCTTGTATAAAGAGAACAGATTTCTACAGACATGGTTGCCCATGTTTGTAGTCCCAGCTACTTGGCAAGAGGCAGAGATCAGAAGGATCATGGGTCAGGAAAATGTTAGCAAGACCCCCATCTCAACAAACTTTGGCTTCCTCCCGACCTCGCTCCTGTTGCTCAATGCTCTGCCTTGGCCTGGGCCCAGGATTGTTAGAACAAGGACTATCGCCTGCAGCTTCTGAGACTTGGAGCTAAAATAAATCCTCTGCTCTTTTGTTTCATGCTATGTACTCCGTCAAAGCGATGCAGAGTCTGATTGGCATTCACATATACTCTGGTCAACTTAGCTACTCTTTCTCATTATTTCCATTATCAACTGTACATCTATCCACTGGCTACTCGTACGCATAAATTGTGTGTGTGTGCCTGCCAGTTCTGGGGCTTGAGCTCTGGTCCTGGGCACTGTCCCTGAGCTCCTTTTTGCTCAAGACTAGCACTCTATACCACTTGAGCCACAGCACCACTTCTAGCTTTTTCTGTGATTAGTTGGATAAGAGTGTCATAGACTTTCTGCTTGGGCTGGCTTTGAACAGCAATTCTCAGATCTCAGCCTCCTGAGTAGCTAGGATCATAGGCATGAGCCACCAGTGTTGGCAAGCATACATTCTTTTTGGTTGGTGCTGGTGGGTGGTTGTGGGGCTTCAAATCAGAGCTTAAACACTGTCCCTAAACTTTTTTTGCTCAAGGCTAGGGCTCTACCACTTTGAGCCACAGCTCTACTTTCAGTTTTCTGGTGATTAATTGGAGGTAAGAGATAAGACTTTCCTGCCCAGACTGGCCTCAAACTGCGATCCTCAGATCTCAGTCTCTTTTTTTTTTCTTTTGTCAGTCGTGGGGCTTGAACTCTGGGCTTGGGCGCTGTCCCTGCACTCTTCAGCTCAAGGCGAGCGCTCTACTACTTGAGCTATAGCACCACTTCCAGTTTTCTAGTGGTTTATTGGAGATAAGAGTCTCAGGGACTTTCCCGCCTGGGCTGGCTTTGAACTATGATCCTTAGTTCTCAGCCTCCTGTGTAGCTAGGATTGTAGGCATAAGCCCCCGGTGGCTGGCTAGATCTCAGCCTCTTGAATAGCTAGGATTACAGGTGTGAACCACCAGCACCCAGCTAGTATATACTCTTACTCCATGACTTTCTCTTGTAGTTCAGACCCATATTTTTAGTTGCCGATTTGATTTTTCCATATAGATGGGAAACAAGGACCCCAAAATCAGTGCACCTTTCACAGACCTATAACCTCTTTCTTTTCATTTTTGTTCTAGAAGGTGGGTACCTGCTCTCCTCCTCTGTGAGAGGGGGACATGAGCACGCTGGAATTTTTCAGTAACTTCTTCAAACTTCTGTTTTCGCTGTTGAAGTATATGTTCTCTAATTTGGTATTCTCTTTCTTCTTGTTCTTTTCGTTTATCTTCAAAAGCTCTATTCCAAAAATAAATAAAAGGAATAGTAAGTTAAAATAAAAACTTAACCCAGAAACATAGTCTTAAAACACTGTCCTATTAATAAGTGTTTTGTAGTATGGAATGTTGCATAAGTTACGTATGTCAATCATGTTCACTAGACATGCTGCACAGCCTTGCACAGAGGGAGAGGAGCAGGTCAGAGGTTTCAGGGTGGGTGGCGGGCAGGGATGGGCTGTGCCAAGAGTACCTGCAGGTTCCACCAAGGCGTCTCGATCTTGGAAGTTGTGTGTATATATATATATATATATATATATATATAGTTTTTGTTTTTTGACAGGGCCTGGGCGCTGTCCCTCAGCTCTTCAGCTCAAGGCTAGCGCTCTACCACTAGAGCCACAGTGCCACTTCCGACTTTTTCTGCTTATGTGGTGTTGAGGTTATCAAACCCAGGGCCTCATGCGTGCAAGGCAAGCACTCCCAGCCCTGTGATATATGTATTTGGGAAAATGCTACCATTGGGGGAAAGAGTGCAAGATTATACTAAGAAGAAAATAAACATGATTTCAAGCAGCTGGGGAAAACAGCCAGCATTTAATTTTGGAATGTTTCCTACTGACCACCACTGGGAACAAGAACTGAAGGTATCAGTGTGGATGACAAATGGAGAAAAAAATACTTTAAGAAATGTTGTGATCAAGCCGGGCGCTGGTGGCTCATGCCTGTAATCCTAGCTACTCAGGAGGCTGAGATCTGAGGATCGCGGTTCAAAGCCAGCCTGGGCAGGAGAAACCGTGAGACTCCTATCTCCAATAAACCACCAGAAAACCGGAAGTGGCGCTGTAGCTCAAGTGGTAGAGTGCTCGCCTTGAGCTGAAGAGCTGAGGGACAGCGCCCAGGCCCAGAGTTCAAGCCCCACGACCGAAAAAAAAAAAAAAAGTTGTGATCACACTTTAGTACATAAAACATACTTAGATGAAAATCTGTCACCATCTTATCAAACACTTGGGTCATGTGCTTTTAGATTCAGAAGTTAAAAGGTATAGATAAACAATAACAGTGAAAGGTATAAGATACACAGTAAATAAGAGTAATTAATTTCAACCACTTGAATAAAGAGTTAATGTAAAGAGAAATACGACGTCAGAAAAAAATTACAGGTAGACAATTGTATCTTCCCAAGTGGGGTTTGCAGCATATATCCAATGATGCAGTTAATAAACTCCAGGGATTTTCTGTTACTTGTGTGTTATAAGAATGCAGGAGGGCTGGGAAGGTGGCTCAGTGGTAGAGCGCTTGCCTTGCATGCATGAGGCCCTGGGTTCGATTCCTCAGCACCACATAAGCAAAAAAGAAAAAGCTAGAAGTGGCGCTATGGTTCAAGTGGTAGAGTGCTAGCCTTGAGCTGAAGAGCTGAGGGACAGCGCCCAGGCCCAGAGTTCAGGCCCCACGACCAGACCTCCCCCCCCCCAAAAAAAAAAGAATGCAGGAAAGGCAGGGAAAACAACAAAAAATACAGAACTGCTGTCTTTGTTTAAAACTAAACATGTTAAGCAGCAATTGGATAGTTTTCATTATTTTACTTTGCAGTTTATAAAGCTTTTTAGTTTTGGTAGGAAGTTATTAATCTATCAATCACATTTCTGCCATTCCAGTTTCTTCCATTTTTGTAAGTAAATGAATGAGGATGGTACAGTAGGAAAATGATATAAAGGAAATATTAGAAATTAAGTAATCATAATTTTTAATCATCACAGTGTGATGCTGAAAATAAAGATAATATTTAATCGTGATTTAGAGCTGTGTCCATGGCTTACCAAGGAAAGACTATCACAGTTACAAGTCAGCAAACTAGACAAAACCTGCTATCTTGCTGCCTTTGCAGAAAATCAGTAGCACAACTGAAAAAGCCATTTGAATCTTGATCGGTGTTTTACAAAGCACTGTCATGACTGGATTCACAGCGCGTTACGAAAGGAAAACCCGATGTCTCCTCGGCTTGCGCTTTCTAAACTTCTGGAGAAAGCACAGTGACTCACTTTTTTCTCCGGTTAGACTCCATAAAATATTTACGAGCTTGGTTCCGACATATTTTTTGTTGCTGCAGTAATATTTGACGCTCTTCTTCTAAGTTTTTCTCTAGATGGATTTGCATGTCTCTGATGCCAGCAGTAAGTTAAGAACAACAGTTTAAGTCTTCAGTGGGTATGGTGATGAGCAGACAAATATAATTACCACCTGTGCTAATGATGTAATGGTGTTTGTTTGGAACAATTATTAGTGTTAGTATACGATCAGAAAGTGTTTTATATAAAAATTCTTCACCTGGTATTGAAATATAAGGTATACACCACTTTCTCTGGTGTGGGAGGGATTACTTTTAGAAATCATGAGCTCAATAAAGAGACTGCTGATCTTTATTACACAGATATTTGAAAATTTACTAACGTTACTTTCTTAAGCAGGTATATAAACAAATGAAAGGCTACATTTCCCTAGTATAAAGTAGACAAGCCGGGCACCGGTGGCTCACGCCTGTCATCCTTGCTACTCAGTAGCTGAGATCTGAGGATCTCGGTTCAAAGCCAGCCAGGGCAGGAAAGTCCTAGAGACTCTTATCTCCAATAAACTACTAGAAAACTGGAAGTGGCGCTATGTCTCAAGCAGTAGAGCGCTCACTTTGAGTTGAAGAGCTGAGGGACAGTGCCCAGGCCCAGAGTTCAAGCCCCACGACCGACAAAAATAAAATAAAATAAAAAATAAACTAGATGAATTAAATGTTTCAACTGATCCTTTAAAGCATCAAATTAATATCCAAATATTTAAAGATCAAATAACTTATTTGTAATGTTTGGAAATACGATTTATCTATTTACTCATAAGCTAAGAAAAAAAACACACCTGGACAATCATACATAGTCACATGTTAATGCAAAAGTTCTGAGAGAAGAAATGGCATATTTTGATTATCAGTTGAAAGTTATCATATATAACTATAAACTTTCCTCAAGTTACTAATATTGTTTTTGTTTTTTGCTTGGTTATAGAGGCCTGAGCGCTGTCCCTCAGCTCTTCAGCTCAAGGCTAGTGTTCTACACTTGAGCCACAGAGCCACTTCCAACCTTTTCTGTTTATGTGGTGCTGAGGAATTGAACTCATGGCCTCATGCATGCAAGGCAAGCACTCTACCACCGAGCCACCTTCCCAGCCCCTTACTAATATTGTTGACTTCCCTAATTTATTTGTTTTGATTACCAGACTTATCAGTGTTTTTCTCTTGTTATTTTGAATGAAAACAGTCATTGCCATGTAATTATTCAATGACTCATCACTAAGTAGAAACATGTGTAACTGTACTGAAGGTAGCCCTTGTATGGAGTCTTCTGATTTTGCTTAGGTTTGCCTTGGTCTGTGATCCTCCCTTTTGGACAAGTACCTGGCATTACATGCATGCAATACCCCTGGAGGTCCTGGGATTGAACATAGGGCCTCATGGTTGCTAGTCAGGCACAATACAGCGTGGGCCCTTTTTGCTGTGGATATATTGGAGATGGGATCTTGATTTTTTTTTATTTTTTTAACTAGGCTTAGACTGAGATCTTCCTATTATACTCCCCAAAGTAGCTGGGGTGACAGGTACATACCAACACACCCAGTTTTTCTGTTGAGTCTTCTGAAATTTTTGCTCAGGGTGGCTCTGAACCACAGTCCTCCCAATTTTAGCTTCCTGCAGCTAGAATTACAGGTGTTAGCCGTGATTCCTGGCTCTTAAACAAATTAAAATGAAAGCACTTTTCTCCCTCTCTCTCTACATATATAGTTTTAATATATATGTAATACACACATATAGTATATAAAATTATATACAATCTTTATGTATACTAGCAAAAATATAAGCCAACACACATCTGATTTTATTTTTTGGTCTTTTGGTTGTCTACTGATCAGTAACAATTTGTTTACTTTAGCTTTATATTATGTATATTTTTAGTAATATAGGAAGTTATCACAATTCTAGAATAAAGTACTTCTATTTTCTTGAGCCAGTCCTAGGGCTTGAATTTAGCCTGGGCACTGTCCCTGAGCTCTTCTGCTGGAAGCCAGTGTTCTACCACTTCCAGTCACAGCTCCATTTCTGATTTTTTGGCAGTTAATTGGAGATTAGAGTCTCTCCAAGGGACTTTCCTGCTGTGCTGGGTTTGAATTGCTATCCTCAGATCTCAGCCTCCTGAGTAGCTAGGATAACAGGCATGAGCCACCAGTGCCTGGCTAGAATAAAGTCTTTTGGGTAATATTCATCTGATACAGTAGTAAATTGCTGATGTACTCATAATTTGTGTGTGTGTTTATGTCAATGTTCACATGACATTTGTTTAAAAAAATGAAAATGATGAGAACACATATGCTTTTCCAATGAGCTATTTCCCCTGTATTCTGTCTGATTCAAGAGACAAATTAGTGTCACAGTAGTTCAGTGCTCAAGAAGCTACGACGTCAAGGGGATGAATCACATTCATAGACGACCTCTGAAAAGGCAATTTAGGGGAGCAGCAAGAGCAAATGACAAATCCCTTGGGGTGAATAATGGAGATGAGAGGAGCCATGAACTCCTGCTGCAAGGTCTGGTTCATGAACTTGGCCCAAGGAGGAGAGGGAGTGTGTGTCACCTCTGAGTGTGTGTCACCGCTGTGGAGCTCTGCGCCCACACCTGTCTTCCTCTTAAACGCTTTGTGACTTGCCTTAGAAATGAAAGCAGCACCCCCAAGTTGGAGACAGTGCAGTTAAGCAAAAGGGGGAAGGGATATTCATTATCAGTTTGGAAAGGGAAACTGTTTCCTGAGAAGGAAGATGGTGGTTTCCACGGACCATCCCTGCCAACTCTGAGAAAAGACGGGACCCTGGGTTCTGGGAAGGAATAGCAGGCTCTACTTCAGTTTTCTACAGTGTCACTAGCACTCAATGTGGTCTCACCCAATTCTTTGGGAAAACTCAGAACTAAGCGCCGAGTGTGAACGTCCGGGTACCTCTCCCTCTCCACGGCCGTCTCGGGCCGGGGCCTCTTACGACAATTCCGATCACCAGCCGTGCGCGGCCTCCTGCAGGGCCATGGTTAGCTGGGTGGCCAGTGGGTAATGTGCCTGGTGGCCAGACAGCTCCCCAAAGGACACGTCCCACCTGCAAGTCGGAAGGAGGGTGTAGCAGGGGCGGGCGCACAGCTGGGGGGGGGTGCTACGGGACAATGGCCCTCCCACACCCGGGGAGGGGGGTGGGCCAGGCCGCTCCCAGCCGACCCTGCCCCTCCCCGCCTTGACCCGCGCCCCCCTTTACCCGCACCCCGCCCAGGTCCCGACCCAATCCAGACCCGGCCCCCGACCCCGATCTAGATCTAGACCCGACCATGGCCCCCACTCCAATCTAGACCCAGCCATGGCCCTGATCTAGATCTAGACCAGGCCACGGCCCCCGACCCCGAGCTAGATCTAGACCTGGCCCTGACCCTAATCTAGATCTAGACCAGGCCATGGCCCCACTCCAATCTAGACTCACCCAGCCACGGCCCCAAATATAGATCTAGACCCAGCCACGGCCCCCGATCCTGATCTAGATCTAGACCCGACCATGGCCCCCACTCCAATCTAGACCCAGCCACGGCCCCCGACCCCGATCTAGACTCGGCCGCGGCCACATCCCTGGTCTAGACCCGACCCTTAACCCCGATCTAGACCCAGCCCCCGACCCCGATCTAGAACACTGCCATAGCCACAGTCCTGATCTAGACCCGACCCCTGACCCCGATCTAGACTGGGCCACAGCCCTGATCTAGACCCAGCCCCCATCCCAATCTAGACCCGGCCATGGCCTCCTATCTAGACCCCGACCCCGATCTAGACCCAGCCCCCATCCCAATCTAGACCCGGCCATGGCCCCCGATCCAGATGTAGACCCCGACGCCGACCAACACCCTGCCCCCGCCCCGGCCTCCGCCCGCAAGGATACAGGTAGGTGCCGGGCCGCGGCCGCCCGCAGCTCTCGCGGCCGTCCGGGCCCGCGCCCAGAGCGCCCGGCCTCGCCGCCGCCATCCTTCACCTGGGCGCCTCCGGCATGGCAGCCCCGGCCGCCGCCTCGCCCGCGCCCCGCCCCGCCCCGCGTCACGTCGGTCGTGGCAAGCCTGGCTTCGCGGCGGCACTGGCGGCTGCAGGGGCGACGGCGGCGACCGAGCTTGGCGAGAGCGGAGGCTGCGGCTGCGACCTCGCCGCGGCCATCTTGACAACCAACGGACGCCGCGTCCTTCGCGACGGAATCCAGGGGGCGGGCCTCCGCCCCGGAAGCCAATGGAAGGACGTGGCGGCGGGGCTGGCGCCAGGGCAGCCAATGGAAGGGTGTGAAGGCGGGGCTGTCGCTCGGGCAGCCAATGGGAGGCGCCGGCGCCGGCGCGGAGCTGCTCCGCGCGCCCGGGGTCCCGGGAGGTTTGCGGGGCTCCAGCGCCGGGCCCGGCTCTGCCTTCCCGGTGCGCGTGTTTTCGGGGGAGCGGGTGGGGGGAGTCGCGGAGACCGAGTGGAAAATCCCCAGGCCCGTGTTACCAGCAGGAGCCGAGCCGACGTTTTTCGGGGGTGATTTGGGCGTGCTCTGTTCAGTACGGAGTCGTCCCGCGGGGCGGGGCGGGGCGGGGCGGGGCGGGGCGCCGCGTGGAAATTTCCTCCCCTCCGTCCTCCCTCGAGGTCCCCCGCCGCCCCCCCCCCCGGTTACGGAGGCCCCGAGTTCCTCGCCCGCCCCGGCCTCGGGCCGCACCGTCAGCCGACCGCCCGAGCGCAAGTCCAGATGCGGGGGGGGGGGGCGCTGTCGCCCCGGCCTCGGTCCCGGTGCAGCCTGTGCTCCAACCGTCGGACCCGCGCGTGCGGCCCCCGACGAATGTCCCTTCGTTGTTGGGCTTCCCAGCCGGAAAGCCGGGCGGACTTCGTGCAGACTGAGTGCACGTGGGAATGCGACTGTCCGTCCGTCCGTCCGTCCCTCTGTCTTCCCCAAGTCCCACGAGGAGCCCAGCTGTCCAGCGCGAGCACGCGCGCGTCTGGCTGGGACGCGCTGTCTGGTGCCAGTTTTCCTGTGAACGCAGGCAGCCCGGCACGGAAAGGCGGTGAGCGCGCCCCGGGCCCGCATCCCCGGCCCGCACCCCGGGCCCCGCACCCCGGCCCGCGCGCGCCCGCGGGTTTGGACGCAGGCCCGGCCTGCCGCGAGCCGTCTCCCGTGGCGGTCCTCGGGTGTCGTATTCTCACTTCCCTGAACCGGCAGCTCTTTTTTGCCGCGTGGTCAGCCGGAAGCCCCGAGCCACGTGGTCGCGCAGTCGTCGGCGCATCCACTAGCATTCAGGGTGGGAGGGGAGGCACCGGTCCACTCGCCCCGACCCAAACCGCCCCTGTCCCCGGGCCCCCCCCGGCGGCTCCCCGGCGAGGCCCGCTGCTGGTGTGTGCTGCTGGTGTGTGCTGGTGTGTCCTGGTGTGCTGCTGGTGTGTGCTGCTGGTGTGTGCTGGTGTGTCCTGGTGTGTGCTGCTGGTGTGTGCTGCTGGTGTGTCTTGGTGTGTGCTGCTGGTGTGTGCTGCTGGTGTGTGCTGGTGTGTCCTGGTGTGTGCTGCTGGTGTGTCTTGGTGTGTGCTGCTGGTGTGCTGCTGGTGTGCTGCTGGTGTGTGCTGCTGGCCCAGCTGACCGCCTCAAAGGGTATTTATGCATTTGCTCACTGGAGGGGAATCCACAGCGCCGAGGCCCACCCAGGCCCTCCAGTTGGTTTAATATCGGTTGGAACCTTGCCAGGCAGCAGCACGCTCTTTCCCTGTTGTCTTCCCTGAGGCTATTTCCCCCCATCATCTACAGAAGTCCATTCTTGCTCAGTAGCAGTTTTCTGAATCTATGTCTCAGCAAGCTGTAAAAGAACCAAGAATTTTAATGCGCAGGTTATTCAAATGGCGACCGCTGTGTCATCTTTACTTCAGTTACACAAGACTTCAAGGAGAAGCTTGAAATGAAAGCTCTGTCTGTTCCTGTTATGGATGATTGAGGTCATCAGTGTGTCAGTGTTGGAACCAGTGAAATAGCAGTAGAGATCCACCTACAACTTGATTCCTTTGGTTTCCCATTGCACTGTGTCTACATGTGCCCAAAAGCTGAAGCCATTTAATCCCTGCTCTACAAGGAGGTAATTAACCTCTAGAAGGTTCGGTCAGAGTAAGGGGGTGATGAAGTCCACATGCTAACAGGGCAGCCTGTAGTCCAGCTGCCACTTTTACATAGTGAGTTCTGAAGAGAGAGATGTATTCATGAAGTAAACATTTGTGTGCATTCTGTGTATCAGGCACTAGGCTCCTACTGTGAAAACTGTGGCATGGTCCGCAGTCTAAGAGATGGAGGAGCAGCATCCAAGTTAGGAAGTTTTACTTTACCTTTTAGTTTTAAAATAGTAATTTCCTAGGCATGTTTCCAGAACAAAGAGAAGGAGCCATTTTCAAGGAAAATTTTAAGCTATCATGGACATGAATCTAGAACCACCCAGAAGATAGTAATTTTCAATAGCAACACTTTGGTTTACATAAGCAAATTCTAAGCAGTATGTCTGTAAACATACAAATCAATTGGAATCATGTAAATTCGGTGTGGTTCATAGGATGATTAATGGTTTAGCTAAACACAAAACATACGATGTCTGACTTATCAGTTTTGGATGACCTCACTGAAACACTTTTACGTAGTTTTGAGAAATAATAGCTAAGGTAATATCCTCCCCTCCCCATCAGCCAGTTCTGCTGCCTTCCTTTTTTGTGTGCGCTGTTTTACAGTTACTGAGATCCATCGTAAATTGCCCTTTGAGAGACATTTTTCACTCATTGGCTGATGCTCTATCTCCTGAGCCATACCTTCAAACCCTTTTTTCTTACAAAGATAAAGTCTGATTCACAAAAAACTAGACAAATTTTTTTTAAAAAACCATGCCTTAGCTGACAGTCCATTGCCTTTCTAGCAAAAGCATGGACTTGGGGTGTAGAGATGAAACATAAAAAGTCTTTTTATGGCTGAAAGGAGGGCAGCTCTCTAGAGGCTGCCTTGTTTTTCAGATGAAGGGTGGAGAGAGCCTGGAAACCAGCAAGTCTTGGCTTCTATTTTTGTTGTACACCTTCCAGAAGTTTCTAGCCCAAGACTATGGGGTGTAGTTCTTTCCACTGAGATGGGACTGGTATTTGAAGAAGTGTTTTCATTTATCCAGGAAAAGCACAATAACTCCATCTCAGGCTTTATTCTGGTGGTTGAATGTATGTTTTTATTTGTGGAGAAGCCATCCAAAGGCTCTGTGCTCATTATCCTGTGGTAAAAATCTCAGCAGTATTATTTTAGCTAAAAGATAGCCTTGTGAGTTAAGAGGCTTATCAGAAGTTTGAAAAGGCAAATTATTCCGTGAAGTATAACTTATGGGACAATTGAAATGCTTATCTCAAAATGTTGAGACTGCTTAAATGCTATTTTAAACTTAAACTGTAAACTTGTCTTTCTTTAAGAAAAGCTATAGGCTTTTGGTTAATAATATTTAAGTACCATGAAATGTATTTAGCATTATTTCATTTCCTTTTTTTTTTTGTTAGTCGTGGGGCTTGAACTCTGGGCTTGGGCACTGTCCCTCAGCTCTTCAGCTCAAGGTGAGCACTCTACCGCTTGAGCCACAGCGCCATTTTTAGCATTATTTCAAAACCAATTTCTGGAGTTTCATACTTAAAACAAGAAAAAAGTGTAAGAAAACCAAAAGAAACTAGTTATTTAATTTTGCAAAACACTTGCTAACATTTAAGAGCCTCATTTCAACTTGAATTTTTGAAAACATGGCATATCAAATATTACAGAGGTTAAAAGAAATATCAAGAGTTTAAAATAGAGCTGTGTGACAATGTTTATGTCTTTTGGGGGCCAAATACCTTTAAATACATAGTGGTTGTTATAATTCCCAGTAAGTGTAAATAATGAAAAATTCATTATTTCATTTAACAAGTTATTAAAATATATAACTTTTACCAAATAATGTTTCAATATCAAAGAAACTAACAGTGTGTCAACAAATACAGATAACCTTTGGAATGAACTGTAATTGGTCTTTTAATAATACCTGTTTGTTTATTTATTTTGCCAGTCCTGGGGCTTGGACTTGAGCCTGGGCTCTGTCCCTGAGCTTTTGCTCAAGTCTAGCACTCTACCACTTGAGCCATATCACCACTTCTGGCTTTTTCTGTTTATGTGGTACTGAGGAATCAAACCCAGATCTTCATGCATGCTAGACAAGCACTCTACCACTATGCCACATTCTCAGCTCCAGATACCTGTTGGTTTTACAAAGCAAAATTCCACTTTTTCTTTTTTTTTTTCTGATAGCTTTCAGATCTCAAAGCACTTAACCTTTAAAATCTTTAAATAACTTGTACAAAAGCAATAAGTCTCTCCCTCCCTCCCTTCCTTTCCTCCTTCCCCTCTTCTTTGTGTATTAGTACTGGTGCTTAAACTCAATCCTTGCACTCTCTTTGTGTGTTAGTACTGGTGCTTAAACTCAAACCTTGCACTCTCTTTTGGCTTTTTTGCTCGTGGCTGCTGCTCTACCATTTGAGTCACACCTCCAGTCCAGCCTTACGCTGGTTAATTGGAGATAAGAGTCTCACAGACTCTTCTTCCCAGGTAGGATTCCAACTGTGAGTCTCAGCTCTCAGCTTCGTAAATAGCTAGGATTACAGATGTGAGCCACGAGCTCCTGGCTCTCTGTTTTCTAATAATTGGTGGCAAAAAAAAAGTCCATTTTGCTAGAAATGTAGATATCTCAAGAAAGTTCAAATTGCAAGATTCTTTGAGGAGGGATGGCTCAGCCTTTTATTACTCACATGGATTTGCAAGTGTGAAAAGGAAAGGCCACAGAGTCACAGGAGTGGAAATGATCCCTAAATTATTTTGGAATTTGGGAAGAAAAGGCAGTAGAGTTACTAAATTAACAGATACGTGTTATCCATGTCCAAAATTTACCCTAACATCTATTTATGGAAATTTGAACTTATCAGCTCATATATTTTATGTCCTGAATTTCAGTCTTTCCTAGGGTCTTACTAGGAGTAGATCATTTTTATGCATTTTTCTTTTTTTAATGTATAGAGTTCTCCAGTAATTAATATTGTAGAAGATGTGCCTAATGCAAAAGATGAAAGTCAGAGTCATGACATGGTTTGTAAGGAAGACTGTGACAAATCCTGTGAGATTAAAGCTAAAACTGCAAGAGAAGAAAAACATTTCATTTGTAGTGAGTTTTAACAAAATAACCATACTTACAAAGCACTGCAGCTTTATTCCAGGGTGGACATGGAAAGTGCGCATTAGTGGTTTGTCTGGGTTATTTTATATGTATCCTTATCATCCTAGGCCAGGTACTTTATGCATTTGACACACAGTAATTGCTTAATGAATATTTGGTAAATGAATGGATGGGTCCAGCCCTATGGTGTGAATGGGCCCCAGACTGAAGGGGAAGCGAGGGCTCTGGTGGTGGCCCCGTGGTGTCACCGCATTCATCCGGGTGGTGTTATCGCAGTTCATCCGGGGCTGTTCTGCTGGTGCACTGCACCGATTCACCCCGGGCTGTTTTCCTGCTGACCCCGAGGACGTCTCACCTTTGGTTCTTGTTCAGGGAGGAGAGGGGGTTATACAAACCAGAATATTACATTAAGTTCAAAATAAGAAATGTAGGAGGTGTTAATATAAAATAGGCAGCAAAATAACAACAAAAAAATGTTTTCACGTCAAATGAGAGAGCTCCTGCATCACTGCAACCATTTTTTCAAATATTTCTTTTTTGAGATGAAGTCACTACATAATTCACAGTACTGTGGCATAGCTAGACTTAGCTAAAGTCACAAGCATCTTTTAATCTTCACAATGATAGTCATCATTACCTTAACCTACTTAGCTTGTGAACGCTATGACCTTTAACAATAAAACTGTTTCTTACAAATCGGGTGACGTGTATGTTTGTTTTGCTTAGTATCAGCTGTTCCTTTTTCTCATTCCCTCCCTCCCCCCCAGCCCTTGAATTGCTCGTCAGTTCCCTCAATACCCAGTGCAGCTGAAGAGCCCCTCTGCTGTGTTTTTTCACCTGCTTTCCACTGATTCTGCACTGCCGCCATTTTTTTGGCCCATATTTATGTATGTGGAGGAGGAAGGGGTGAGGAAAGTAGAGCAGAGGCTCGGGCCTATTCCGATCTGTCAGACAGGAACTTCAGAAAGCTCACTTCAGTGTGGCTGGTTCTTTGCACAGCACCAGCAAATGCAGTTTATTTTTTTTATTAGCAATGTTGAGCTGGGTGCTGGTGGCTCACGCCTGTGATCCTACCTAATCAGGAGGCTGAGATCTGAAGGTCATGGTTTGAAGCCAGCCTGTGAAAGAAAGTCTGTGAAACTCTTCCCTTCAATAAACTACTCAGAAAAGGCTAAAGTTGCACTGTGGCTCAAGTGGTAGAGCACTAGCCTTGAGCACAAAGAGACTCAGGGACGGTGTTCAGGCCCTGAGTTCAAGGCCCAGGACTAGAAAAAAAAAATGTTGGGAGCCAGGGGTATGGCTCCGTTTGTAGTCTAGCAAGTGTTGAGGCCCGGTGTACAAACCCAGCACAGCCCTCCCAACAAGAAAGAATGTTGAAACAGTTGTTTTCATGGTTAATCCTATGCTAAATGCAACATATGCTAATTAAATATACAGTTATGATTTGATATAAATTAGAATATTCATGTTTATACATTTATCCCAAATCCTATGAAATTCTTTATTTTTCACCATGATTGTTTCCAATAACTATAATATTTAGCAGTATTTTTATTATGGTTAAGGGAATCTACAAAATTCTATTGTTTGCTACAAACGAAGTACCAAGAAACTCCTGAGGGATACAATGGAGAAGCAACAAGCCTCTTTGGATTCCTTATCCAATCAGGTACAGTGTTTCACGCCGCGTGCTGCTCTCTCGTGAGCACACTGACTCACAGTTAGCTGCAGGTGTAGTCATTTCAGTCTTTGGTGCACTTATGTTCAGATGTCTGTTTGTTAAGTGCTTACGTAGAGGAGGCACCATGGAGAGCCGTGGGCAAACAGTGAAAACAACACACCTGCACCCCAGGGATGCCCAGCCAGGTGGAGAAGAAGCGCTTAGCTACTGAAACAGCAGATGCTGTTAGAATGAGAGCCATATCCGGAGTCACGAGTGATAAATTATTGTTGTTATAAAAGTGATGTAAAGAGGGATTCTAGTTATATAAGTCAGATAAAGAGCACATTTCTGCTGGGTGCCAGTGGCTCACGCCTATACCCATTTGAGGTAAAGCTTTCCTTTTATTACACAAAATGTTTAGTGACTTCAATCAATATTATGTTTTTAATTGTTTAAAAATTTATTATTTAGGGCTGGGAAGGTGGCTCAGTGGTAGAGCGCTTGCCTTGCACGCCTGAGGCCCTGGGTTCGATTCCTCAGCACCACATAAGCAAAAAGAAAAAAGCCAGAAGTGGCGCTGTGGCTCAAGTTGGTAGAGTGCTAGCCTTGAGCTGAAGAGCTGAGGGACAGTGCCCAGGCCCAGAGTTCAGGCCCCACGACTGGACCCCCCCAAAAAAATTTATTATTTATTGAAAATTTTAAAATAGTAAGAGTTGTAGATTCAGTATTTTGGATTTCGGTTCCAGTGCCCAGACCTTGACTTAGTGAGAGGCCGTGGCTGAGGGTACCTTGCTTTTCCTCTGAGTTCTGCTCTTGCAAGTATAGTTTACACTAACCTTAAAGATAAGAAAAAAGATAGCTGCAGAACTATGCAATATAAATTTTTAGCCTACAGAGATTAGAAAATAATGAGGTGCTTTGCTTTGGAGCTTACTAAAGTACTTTGGGTTTATTGTGATTGTACGTTCTTTTGATGATGAGTGATTTCATATGATTGTATAAGACATGAATAATTTTATAAAACCTCTTATTGGAGTTCCAGGAAGACCTCCCTCAGTGAGAGGACCCATTCTTCAGTTGAGACCCTCTACGTCTGCCCCGAGCATTCTGTGCTGGGATTTGGAGTAGAAATTTCCACCAGACATTATGTGCACTAATGGGCTAGGTGTGTGCAGTCATATGTATAGATATGATATGTGTATATATATATATATATATTCTGGACACTTACTTCATGCATAAGAAAGTTGGTGCTGTTGCACCTTTATTAAGAATCTGTTGTCTGCTGTCTGTATTGTTGGTTATCCTGTTTGAAGAAAAAGAACAAATAAAACATGGCCAGCAAAAAAAAAAAATCTGTTGTCCATTAAAGTATCATTCTAAGTAGATACTATCAGCTTCTTCTTTGAGTTATGATATTCTTGACAAGAATATTCAAAAATTGGGAACTAAGTGGGAAGTCATTTTAAATTACTTAAATTCTTTTGCCCGCAGATTCAAAACTGGATCTGAACAGCTGCAGAGAAGAAGGCGTCTTAATTTTACTTAGGGTGCGATGCATAACTAACTCTTATGTGGCAAAGCGTTGCTTCCCCAGCTTCCGCCACACATTTTTTGGGTCTGTGCATGGGAAGTTTCTGAGGAGAATGATTGCTCTCATTTCTTCCCTTGCACTTGGATGGGTACCTGCGGGACATTTTCACAGCACCAGCAAATGCTCCTGTGAGCGCGACGTCGCCCTTTGTGTCTGAGCACAGGCCTTCAAGGTGTGTGTGGGAGAGGATCAATCGAAGGCCAGCAGAGGGCGTATTCAACATTCTGTAATGTTATTCTCGAGCAGAAAAAACATAAGCTGAAGAAGAATAGGGTAGCCTTAAAGTGCTACAATTATGCATTTGAAAGAGTGATAAGGACTACCATTAAGTGAATTATGTACTTATGTAAGATTGTTGTTTTTAAAATAATAGTACTATTCTAGAGGTTTAAATCTGATTGTTGAAAAATTTCAGTGAGACTCTCTTCTCTTTCTCTAGTCTTTGAATAAAGCATGAATTTCATAATGTCAAATAATGAAAATAATGGTGTATCATGTTGGTATTTCTGGGCCTCTTTTAGGTAATGTGTGACATGGATTTCAGAGGATGTGGATGGACTGTGATACAGAAGAGGATTGATGGGAGAATTGACTTCCAAAGATTATGGAGTGATTACCTGGATGGATTTGGAGAACTTTTAGGTCAAATTTTATGTATTTCTCCTCAATATTAATTATTCTCTTCTTTTTTGATATGTCTATAGACTCTAGTTAAAATTAGTTAAAATTTCATTACAAATAAGCAAATCTATGTGAATACCAAAATAGAAATTAAATTATCCTCCCTCCCCACATCAGTTTATTTAACTGTCTTCAATTGATGTCAAAAGGCCTCCTCCTCCTTCTTTTTTTGTCAATTGTGGGGCTTGAACTCTGGGCCTGTGCATTGTCCCTGAAGCTCTTCAGCTTAAAGCTAGCACTCCATCATTTGAGCCACAGCTCCAGTTCTGGCATTTTCTGTGTATGTGGTACTGAGGAATTGGACCCAGGGCTTCATGTGTGCTAAGCAAGCACTCTACCACTAAGCCAACATTCCCAGCCCTTACAAGGAGTTTTAGAAGGCATTTGGCTTATGGTCAAATCATGGCCACAGTACAGCATGCAGCCCATTACTGTGTTTGATTAGCATTATCTTCGATTTCCCACAATGTTCCCTCCTGAGTTAAGCAGTTATAAATTGACACAGGCTTCCAATCATCATTTTTCCTTACTTCATGCTGTTTTTTTAAATTTAATTTTATTTGTTTTTATTGTGAAAATACTGTACAGAGAGGTTACAATTACAATTACATGAGCACATTTCTAATCAAGCATTGTAGCCTCCGATGCTGTTTTCTTTAGGGTGATGGTACTACCTCATTCTGACTACCTCATTATTAGTCAAAATGCGTACCTCTTCATTAGTACCTAATTAAGGTAGGTACTTCTCATCCAGATGGAGACTGCCTTGTCTTTGGTGTAGTTAAAAAAACACATTGGAGATGAAGGAAACCACCGTGTTCAATCTTAAATATGAGGTTGGAATAAAGAGGAAAGAAGACGGAGGCCCTTGAGCTGAAGAGGTAGACTGCCGCCTAACGCCGCCTGGACTGAGTCCACTCAATTCCTAGCTAAAGGCCCCTGCAAGCCCTGGAAAAGGACTGAATCCCTTACTTATAGTTTTAAGAGTGTCCGTGCAGTTGTATTATCCTCAGATAATACAACTAGGTTCTTTTCCCTTCTGTAATTTCTGAGGATATCTGCACCTGGCTGTGCCAGGGTATGGAGAGGAGCCTTGGCTGGAATGTGAATGGACAACACGACGCCTGAAGGGGGCGCCCTGCCACCCCTCCTGCACCTGCCCACACCGGTCCTGGGACCCTTGAGCTCAAGTTCCCGTCTAGCATCCTCCCGGACTGGAGGAAATGAATGATTTCAACTGAGTCATGTTTAGGCTTTTTTTTTTTCTGGTCCTGGGGCTTGAACTCAGGGCCTGGGCACTGTCCCTGAGCTTTTTTGTGCTCTACCACTTCACGTGTAGTAATTAACAACAAAATAACCATACTTACAAAGCGCTGCAGCTTTATTCCAGGGTGGACATGGAAAGTGCGCATTAGTGGTTTGTCTGGGTTATTTTATATGTATCCTTATCGTCCTAGGCCAGGTACTTTATGCATTTGACACACAGTAATTGCTTAATGAATATTTGATAAATGAATGGATGGGTCCAGCCCTACGGAGTGAACGGACCCAGACTGAAGGGGAAGCGAGGGCTCTGGTGGTGGGTGGCCCGGTGATGTTAGCGCAGTTCTGCTGGAGCTGTTCTGCTGGTGTGCTGCACTGGTTCACCCGGGGCTGTTTTCCTGCTGACCCCGAGGACATTTCACCTTTGGTTCTTTTCAGGGAGGAGTGGGGGTTGGACATAAGAGTCTCACAGACGATCCTGCCCCTGTTGGCTTTGAACCCTCAGATCTCAGCCTCCTGAGTAGCTAGAATTACAGGCCTGAGACACTGGGGCCTGGCTTATTTTTAGGCATTAAAAAAAAAAGAAAACCAGTAATTTACAAGTTGAATCTCCTGCATTTAATGGGACAAATTGTTTTGTTACCATCACAATGGTTTTGTAAATTTCTGTTGATATGCCCCAAGGCAAAACTTGGCTTTTCACTTAGTCTTTAAATGAGCTCTTGAATTTGACTTGGGGAAGCAGTTTGATCTTCTTCAGTCTAATGGGGTAGAAGTAGGAAAACTTTTCTCTTTGTGGTGAACACTGATAATTTGAGTGAGGCCAGCCATTCCCTGTGGTTATTTATGCATTTCGAGTCAGTTGCTAAAATGCAAAGATAATGGGTTCCTTTTATTTATATTTAAATATATTCAAACCAAGCTCTCTCTCTCTCTCTCTCTCTCTCTCTCTCTCTCTCTCTCTCTCTCACAGGAGAATTTTGGCTAGGACTAAAAAAGATATTTTATATAGTAAATCAGAAAAATATCAGTTTTGTGTTGTATGTGACTTTGGAATCTGAAGATGACACCTTTGCTTATGCATTCTATGATAATTTTTGGTTAGAAGATGAGACAAGATTTTTAAAAATGCACCTAGGAAGGTATTCAGGAAATGCTGGTAAGTTCTGTATTTTTATTGTTATCCAAAAGACTGAAATAGTACGGATTCAGTATCAGGCAGAAATAAAAATAATGTTCTTTTCTATAAATACATATGTATATTTACATATCACACATGTATATATACACACAATTGGTAACAGGGTAGGCTGACAAAGTCTGGGGCTTTGAAGTTCTGTTCTGAACTTTGGATCACCAAATGACTTTGTTATGCTTTATATTCTTTAAAACCATTTGCCATTTGTAATCTCACTTCTCTTTTGGATGGACACCCAGTTGGGAGGGTAATATTCCCATTTTCTGATTGGCTGACAGAAGTCATAGAGCGTAAGAGCCAATTGCTTCCCATCCTCTCTACTGGACAGAGCAGAAACCTGAAACTTAAATGATCAACCCACGAGTCCAAGTTGATAGGACAATCAAAGTAGTGTTCTTTCTACTCTATTCTGGTCCGTTTACTCATTTTCAAATAAATTTAACTTGTTAGAAGTTCCGTATGCTTGGTGCTAAGTTTATAATTAGTTCTGGAATTCTATAAGTATTAGAGTGAAGAGTTGGTGCTGACAGTGGTACCTTGCTCTGTATTTTCGGGGTTACACATTAAAGAACAAATTCTGTGTTCCCAGCCCTTTGATCACAATAGAGAGGGAAAGAGAGGAGACACTAGAGACAAGAATGCTGATGGAGTTTGTGTAGTAATGGGGTGGGGGGGAGGGGAAGAGGAGAGGTAAGAGAGAGGGGAGAAAGGAGGGAGGGAAGTTTTAGGAGAGGGAGAAGGAGGGAAAGACAGTGAAAAGAGAAGAGTGATTGCAGCTGATGACATCTAGACGTTTCCACGGAAGGGTAGCTCTCTCTGATGTGCATGCCCTGCAGAAGCTGATCAGCGACTCTCGGCCCCATGCCACGTGTCACCGCCTGGCCGTGGAGAATGGCATCGTGTTTGTCACATGGCGTTGGCAAACAGCAGCTCCGTGTCCCAGAACAGAGGGAGGAAGATGACTGGAACAGAGTGGCCTCCGAGGGGCTAGTGTCCCGACTTCAGGTGGAGGACGGAAATCCAGATATTTAAAGCGACAGCATAGAGTTCCCAGTGCTTCATCTCTCTGCGTGTAGAGAACTAGCTAAATGTGGAATATGCTGTCTCAGGGAGTATAGACGAGGTTCTCTGGAGAAATCAGATCTAGTGGGGCGATTCCATCAATAAGAGCACGTTTTTTTCCATGACGGGACCTTCAGAGTTGGCCATGGTGGTTAATAGCTTTCAGCTGTCACCCACATGCTCTAATCAAAACAGTGAAGGAAACAGGTGCCAGGAGAATGTAAGGACGGAGATACAGGTAAACAAGGGGTACATGTGGGCACACCGTGACTTTGGCTTATCAACTTTGAGCAAAAATAGAAGTATAAGCTTGCGCATTTGGCCATCACAGTTGTTTCATTCAAAGTACAAATATTCCTGATAATGAAACTGGAGAGAGCTTCCTGTGGGTTCTTGGAGACAATGGTGCCCCGGTCTCTGACTAATGAGCGTGGTGGTGGTGGGGGGCGAGTGAATGTACTATACTACTTTTCTCTTTTTTTGGGGGGGGTCCGGTCGTGGGGCTGAACTCTGGGCCTGGGCGCTGTCCCTCAGCTCTTCAGCTCAAGGCTAGCACTCTACCACTTGAGCCACAGTGCCACTTCCGGTTTTTTCTTTTTGCTTATGTGGTGCTGAGGAATCGAACCCAGGGCCTCAGGCATGCAAGGCAAGCGCTCTACCACTGAGCCACCTTCCCAGCCCTTCTGTACTACTTTTCAAGGAATATTTTTAAACAGATGGTTCGGTATAATCTGTTGAGGAGGCCATATGCTATCTAATCTTTCTGATGATTCAGTTTTTTCCAGGGAAAGTATTCATGAAATCATAAAATTTAGGGACTACTTGCTAAGCATTATATTTCTAACCTGAACTTTAGAAAGGTATTGTAGTTTGTGAGAATTGTATTTTATTTTCATATATATATATATATATATATATTTGCAATGTATGTCTTTTATTTCCTATCGAGTGCAGAGACAGAGTTTTAATAATTAGCAGCTGGGGATATGTATCAATAGTGATTTTTTTTTCAGGCTCTTCAAAATATTTATCTCAAGAGGTGCCAAACATTTAGAAGGATAATGAAACATAGGCCTGGATATCCCTATGTGTTTACATAGTGCTTCAGGCATATTAGTCAAATATTTTGGGATGTGAGTGGACCGTAGGTGTTATGGGTTTGCTAAGAACTTTTTAGTTTCCTAATTTTATGGACTTTTACTCTGGTTGCGTAGTTGACTGAGTTGTCTTGGCTAAGATACTTAATCTTTGGAGGCCTTGTGACCGATAGTCATACACACCATGTACAGTGTTAGCCCTTTGTAAACAATTAGCTCATGGAGAATGTGAAAAGCCATGAAGAAAAGCATACCTCAGGAGTATACTTGAATTTTTCTTGAGTGAATTAGGTCTTCTATATCAACTTGATGGCCTTTAACTAAAATCAAATAACTTCTAAAACTATGGATGTTTCTTCTTTTTTATATTATTGTGATTACAAGATGATGTATGGAGGGTTACAGTCAGATAAAGAGCACATTGTCACCCCTTCTCTCACTCTCTGTCTGAATCTAAGTTTCTCAAAGGTAAAAGTCTTGCCTTCCTCTTTGCAAATTGTTTCCCTTCCTTAAAGTATCCAGCATTGTATCAGTCATTGCTAAGTATGACACCTCTGTACCTAAATTATTGGCCTAAGTTATTTAGTCTATACATTTCATTTTGGTTAGCATATCTATTTTAGGACATCTGTCAATTCATCAGCAAACTTTAGCATATTGCAGTCTGGATGTGAGAGATTTTAACAGAGTCAAAAAATAATTTAAGCCTTATTTCTAGATGCATTTTTTTTTGTTTTTCATAATGGACTGGTGATAGATAATTCTGGAATTTAAAAAGAGCTGTTTTACTTCGGTGATGACTTCTGGGATCTCACAAAAGTCCTTCAGCACCTCAGATGTTCACAACAAGGGTTGTCACCCCGCGTGCCTGCCATCGGTCAGTCTGTGAAGTGCTGCTGGCGTCTTCATACCAGCACTGGCTGGTGGTTCAGCCGCTGGGGCAGTGCAAGCCTCAGTGGCGTCCCTCCCTCCCCTGGGAACGCCCCCTGGGCTGGAATCCAGCGGACCACGCGGACCAGAGCCGTCTCCACGAACATCCGAAGGACTCACAGTCCTGATTTTAAGTAGCCTCATTTTAAAGTACAGTGCTGGCTCCAGAATTGTTTTTTGATAATATATTAAAGATTTTGCATGGTTTCCCCCTTTTCTTTAAAACTTAAGGTTTTAAACAGGGTAGCCAAAATATGACTATCATGGGTATTTTGGTATTGTGAATTTAGAGAACTTCTAGATAAAAAGCATTTATAAAAGAAATCATGGCACATTGATTTTCTTTTTACTAACTTTATGAACAATATGCCATGTGGTCTGTCTCAAGTGAATCATTTCTGATGTTTCTGGTGCTTTTCAAGGATTTTTGCCTCCCTTTTTTTTTTTTTTTTGGTGCCACTCCTGGGTTTGAACTTCAGGCCTGAGTGCTGTCTCTGCGCTTTTTTGCTCAATACTAGTGCTCTACCACTTGAACCATAGCACCATTTCTGGCCTTTTCTGAATAGTTTATTAGAGATAAGAGTCTCATGGACTTTTCTGCCTGGGCTGGCTTTGAACTGCGATCCTCAGATCCTAGCCTCCTGAGTAGCTCAGATAACAGGCGTGAGCCACCGGCCCCCAGCAAGGGATAACTTTTTATGTGGATGAATATAATAGCTCCAGGTTTTGAGAATTTGTAACTGTATCTGGAGGATGCTACAACATGTACCTGTACTGCGTTTCCTGTCAGAATGAAATGTCAGCATTTCCATGTTTGCACAGACACTGTGGAGTGATGTCATTCATCGTCTTGTGACAGTTTACGTATCACTGGACTGAAGGAATAGTCAGGAAGCACAGACATACCCACACACGGCGACCAACATTCAGAGGTAGCATACATTGAGTGTTTACGAGGTGCTAGGTACTTGTTTAGTGTTCACGCTATTCTAAGGAGTTGTTGCTGAAGACAGTTGGAGCCAATAGAGACACGTATGTGTGAGTGAATGGGGCTGGAGCCTAGCGCTTCTCCTGTCCTTTGCGCTCTGACGGCTGCCGCTGTCTGCCATGCTGGGTCAGGTAGCGGCTGCTCGTCTGGCCCTGCCCTGACTTGCTTCCAGCTTCCTTGTGCTGCCATGACATGGGCTCACAGGACCCGTGCTTTCAACTCAACCAGCAGAACTCAAACCCTTTGAAACGGAAATGACAAAAAATAGGTAATACTGAACTATATGAAAGGCTGTTTCCACTGGTCCTGGCTCTGGACACCGAATATAATTCATGCTTTCCGTTTACTATAGAAGCTGAGTTTAAGAAATTAAATACTGGGACTGGGAAGGTGGCTCAGTGGTAGAGCTCTTGCCTTGCATGCCTGAGGCCCTGGGCTCAATTCCTCAGCACCACATAAGCAAAAAGAAAAAAGCGGAAGTGGCACTGTGGCTCAAGGGGTAGAGCGCTAGCCTTG